TATCAGTAGTGTAAGTAGCAAGTACAATGTAAGTGTAATTAATACTGTAAGTAGCGTAAGTGATCGTCTTGTAAATAAAATTGTTTAAAAAAAAAAAAAATTTCAGGGGGAGCTGGAGGTTTTGTTCGATTCTCGTATTTCATATACGTGACATATTGTCTTTATTTTGGACATTTATGCCTTGTTTCAGATGGTTTTAGATAGTTTGCGAGTGGCTGTTGATGTTTTTGAGGTGGTTGTTGAAATTTTTGAGGTGGTTGTAGATGGTTGTAGGTGGTTTTAGGTGGTTTTAGGTCATTCCATGTTTTAGTACTTACGCACTCTCTCAACTGATCTTTAACGCATGGCCAGGGATGATTCCGTTTAACTTGTTGTTTGCAAATATATACGAGGAGAATCACTGACTGGGTAACTTTCTCGGACTTTGTTTTTTTTTCTTGATAAACAAATTCTACTCCATTGGTAGAGTTCCTTTCTACTCTCTTGGAGACCAGAATTTTTGCCGCGAAAAAAAACAACCCATATACTGCGTTCTCTTTCTGTCTTAAAGCTTTGTTCCTACGATATTGTGGCGAGAAAAAGTATGGTGGTTCGTATGTGAATACGTGTGATGTCTTTCTGCGAGCTGCGAGGTATTTAACCGAGCCCCATGCGTGGGGACGAGGAAAAATTATTAGCAAATTGAACGCTCGTATTAAATGATTCAAAAATCCTTCGAATAAGGTGATAATTATCCATGACTATTTCACTTTCTAATTTTTTGGCCTCCAGTTTTAGAACTTTAACTGAGGATCACATGACAACTTTCGCTTTGAAAGGCAAGCAACTCAAGTAAGGTTCGTTTAGCGCGGCTTTTCCGTTACTACGCTTTGCGTGCGTATTTTTGCTCTGTTTTGTAGCATAGTGCCGTCGCTTATTTTGCGCGTTCCGTTATCTTAACATGAGATTATGGAATGAAAGTGAAATGCTAAAAACACGCAATTTTTGCGATTTGTGACGTCGAACGTTATATATGAAAGAAAATCAAAGCCGAGTTTGATTCTCGTGGAGAAAGGACAAGAAGAAAACCTGGATAAATAACCCCTGTTCAAAAGACTGCACGGCGTGCAATCCGCTCGGGAATTTAACCCCAACCACAGCAGTCGGAATCCCACTAGGTCTCTCCTTCTCCACCACAGTGTTACTCTGTGAGCCAATTGGGTGGGAAAAAGCTAGAGTTTTCATGATCGTATTGCAACGTCTGGTGTGGTTAACCCTTTGTCTCCTATGATCCAATGGTGAATTCTCCTCTCTAGCAGCTAGAGATTTCCTCGAAAATCTGTTTTGAGAATTTGGTATTTGATCAAATTGACCACTTCTAGCTGATACCTTTGAGTATTCTCATCACCT